CCTTTTGTTCTGTTCTTATTGTCAACAGCTGGTTCAGTGGGATTATAATAGTGTTTAACACATTCAAGTTAATAAAAATTTAATGCTAAACAAATATAATACTTATAAAAAGTGATTTAAAAAACATTTTAAATATTTTGTAACATTGTTTGTAGGTTTGCATAGGAGGTCCCCAGCCAAATGCTAATGCTGTTTGGGGGGCTATAGCATGGAAATGTTTGGGAACCCCTGATGCAGCACTCATCATTTTGGGGTTCTTTCAGGTCTAAAAGATCTAAAACATCTGATAGTTTTAAGATTAATGGAAAAAACCAGTAAGATAAATAAAATAAACAGTCAAACCTTTGATGGCTAGCATAGCTCTATGTGTTATACTAACGGCAACAATTGTTGCCGTGCTTACATTCACTCTCCTTACAATCAAAAGATGCATGCAGGCAGAAAATTCTCAATATATCTCAGCAGAAGACTCTTTAAAGAATATATGTACAAAATATTTAAATTCTATGTGTTTATTAAGATATTTTACTCACTCCTTTTTGTACCAGTTTGAGATAGACATTTCCCTCCAGCAGTGCAGGCAGAAAGTCAAGGGGTGTGGTCATGTGACCATTCACACACATGAAATTGATGTAACTAAGAGTAGACAGACTATTGTTTTGTTGTAAAACATAAATTAGCTGCCCAAAGCCAAAATAACAGTTTTAGAGCTTTCAGAAGTAAAACAAAATGTCTGAAAACAGGTTTCATGTTTTTGTTGAACTCTTTCTTTCACCCACAGTCTGCTAAGATGTTCAACTATGCTGGGTGGAGAAACGCCTGCAACTACATCTTCATCGTGTTTGCTGCGATTTTCATCATCACTCGCCTCTATATCTTCCCCTTCTGGTACTGAAACCTCTTATAAGTAATGTGTACAGACAAATAATCATTCCTAGTTCACATCTCTGACAAAATTAAAATACACAAGATATTTATTCTAATGAGGAAGAGTCAGACTTACACAATCAGAAACACATTGTTTAAATTATCTCCACATTCCACTAAATGTTGTACTTTGTGCCACCACCTCTTTAATGATCATAACCTCTGTTTCAGCATTATTTACTGTACGTGGGTCTACCCGGTGACCATCTACAAACCTTTCTTTGGCTACTACTTTTTCAACGGGCTGCTGATGATTCTGCAGTGTCTCCACATCTTCTGGGCTGTTCTCATCATCCGCATTGCAATCCGCTTCCTCAACAACAATGTAAGTGATAGTGCTGTAAATCACCAGCTTTGTCACAATATCATATCGATATGTGTGGATGGTGGTTAGGGATGCAAACAATTAATCGACTTACAATTAATTGTCGAATCATGGTTTATTAGATTAAAATTTCTTCCATTCGGTGAATTGAAAACGTCAGTTTAAGCCTTATTTCAGTGTAGTTTTGACTTCATCCAGTAGATGGAGCCACTGCTCTCAGCCTGGCCTTACTTTACCCCGGCCCTGCTGAGCTGAGCAGAGAGCCGTCTCAATGTGGGCTGCGTCATCGCACAAATCTTATTTCATTTTATTTGCAACACAACAATAATAATGGACTAAACCAAACTCAAAGGAAAAGTATCAAAGGTTGTACCGGACTATCCAGCAGTATGACGTGAGCAGGATGGAGCACGGTAAGCTAACTTAGCTAACATTAGCTTCTTGTAGAGTTTCTCTGTGTGAAAGAACCAAAACAAAACAAAAACAGTTAGTCACTACAAATAATTACAGTGAAGTTAATCTCATCTGTGTGACGTAACCCGGCCAGTGAACAAATCAAAGGACCAGTAACTGACGTCAGATCAGTCCAGCCCAGACAGAACCAGAGGGAAGGTAAACAAACACAGTTCCAGTACTCATTTGTATGTTCACCCCTCTCAGGTCATGTTTATACTTTGTTTTTGAGTAAATCTTTAGATTAAAATGTTACCCTGTGTTTAAATGTTAGTTTTACATTTCTCTGTTCAGGGTGGATCAAGTGTTTCACTTCTTCTTTCTTTCCTTTATTTTCAGTTAGTAAACCCAACAGATTCCTGTTTTATTATATTTTATAAATCTGAAATAAAATATCTATGGCAGCACAACGGCTCAGTGGTTAGCACTGACGCCTCACAGCAAGAAGGTCCTGGGTTCGATCCCCGGTTCAGACCTGGGGTCTTTCTGTGCGGAGTTTGCATGTTCTCCTCGTGCTTGTGTGGGTTTTCTCCGGGTACTCCGGTTTCCCCCACCCCCGAAAACATGTACAATAGGTTGCCTTCAGGCCCAGGCCTCCCTTGAAAAAGAGATCTGAGATCTCAACGGGACTTTTATTCTGAATAAAAGTCTGGTTATGTCATGATCAGATTGTGTCCATGTAAACAGTACCTTCGGATTATTTAATCTGAAACCATTTCAATCCGATCAAAAAATTTGTGCATGTAAACGTAGCCACTGACTGTTGCTTCATGGTAAAAATGTTTTGTTTTTCTCTTCAGGAAAAAGTGGACGATGACAGGAGCGACAAAGACGAAACCGACGAATCAGAGGAGGAAAAGGAAGCAGAGGCTAAAAACCACGTGAAGAAAAACGGACCTGTGCAGAACGGTCACACAGTCCACAACAACAACCACAGCAAGACAGAGTGACCCCGCCTGAACAGGAAAAATAATAACTCAGCCAAGGACTCAGACCCCTCAGAGGGGCAGTTGTAACGGAGAGAAAAGAAGGGATGTGGATGGGAGGAAGAGGGCAAGTATTCCCACAAACTAGGAACAGCTGTATTAATAGGAAAATTGACACTGTTACTTGTTCACAAACACATTTGTAGTCGTACTTGTAGAGGACACAGGTCCAGCGGGTGATAGACACTACGCTGAGTGGCACCGCTACCTTTTTTTATTTATCTGAGAAATCGTATCACTGCCATCGTTTGCTGTTAGTCCTAAAACTTTCTGAGACGGGGAGAACACGAAGAAGAGGAAGGTGATGCTGCTTCTACTTTAGCTTTCATGTAATAACCGTGTGCCTTAGAGCCAGCTCGTGGCTACTGAAAAGCCATTTTAAAGCTTTCTGTTGTTAAAGTCGTGCTGCTTTATTCGTTTTTTTTTTACTTTCATGTAGGTGATACAACGGGGCATTGATTTCCCTTTTCTCTATCTATGCAACTACGCATCTGTTCAGCTATTGCAACGTCTTTGCACAAACAATATGAAGGAATATTCAGCAGTAGGACTCCTCCCCCCTCGGTGCAACTCATGATGTTTAGAAAATTTTCTAGTTTTGGTTTTAATCGAGCTGATTTTATTTTGTTCTGATTTCTGCCTCCAGAACGCTCTCTTTTAGAGGTGCCGTTTTTAAATCCTACTTTTTTTTTGTCTAAGCTGAGAGGAACCGACAGAAGCGGGTGCTCAGTACAAATATGTGACCCATCACATCCAAATGAGGATTAAGTCTAAAAGTGGTTTATGGAGAAATAGGCAAATATGGAGTTTTGATTAAAACATTTGCAAAAAGCAAATTTTGTCAAAACATAATGAATAAAAACCTTATCAATGTTTCTTTTGAATGAACTGTCTCAAATTTAATCATAAAACAAAATTTTCGTTTTTTTTGAGCAGTAGCAACAAAAACATTGATTTTGAGCAAAAACGCTTTAAAATTTTGAGATTTACCCTGTGAGCTAGAAATGTTTTGTTTCTTTTAGCTGGGAAATCTCAATATTCAAATATTTTTTGAAGTTTCCTTTTTATAAGGACTTCAAAAATTCCTCATTAAAATGACATAAAATTAGGATTCAGACCAAGTATTATTGGATTATTGTAATCAACAAGACAAATTAAGGCTTATCTCTGGATCCACTTATATCAGGATGATCCAGGTATCAAAATGTAGCTTTTAAAGCAGGAATCTGAAAATGTAATTAGGTCATTCTGACCAAATTTGACTTAATCCTCATTTCGATATGATGGCTCTCATATGTGATTGAGAAATCTCTGTTTCAAGCCCAGACACCACGTTGTCGGAGCCGCCTACAGGAAAATGATAACTCAGCGTAATTATTGTGAAAATGAGTCGTTCTGTGGAAACAGGAGTTTTCTAAAGTAAATGTGATGGACCAGATTTCTTCAATCCACTGCCTAAAAGCTGCGGTTACGTTCATTAACCTGGCTGAGGATTTAAACAATGATCCAAATAGATGCTTTTAAGTATGATTGTGTGCAGGAAGTGAGTTTATAGGAGTGCTCCTTGTTGTTTTGTTTGAGTGAAGTTGTGAAGGAAGCGTTTTATCTTTGTTGCCAAGCTTTAATGTGTATGTTTACGTCAAGTGCCTTAGTTTTGATGAATGGTGAGCTCTCCCGTCTTCAGTGTCTTTTTGTTGTTGTTTTTTCCTCATTTCCTCTTCAGCCCATAAATCCAAACAAGCCCTGCTCCTCCGTTTGATTCCACTCCTCCTTTCTTTAAAAGACGAGCTTCTTTTCATTCTCATTCCACTACTTCTACTAACCTTGACCAACCAGCCACTTTTCTTCCCCAGCAACACAGAAGAAACAGATGTGGCCTAATTACAGTGTTATATGTTTATTTTGTTTTGTTTAATGATGCCCAAGTATTGATATTAATGATAAAACATAATGATTCACAATGAAAACACTTTGAAGTTGTGGTTTTTTATGTGTCTAAAGATGTTCATAAATGCTTGTTCTGTTAAATTGATTATTCGTTAAACAAAACTAGATTACAATACAAATATAGTGTGTGAAATGCAAAATAGAAACAGTAAAATGCTCCATCTGAAATGTGAGGTCACAACACCCCAGAGACTCTCGGCTGGCCTGGAAACACCTCGGAGTCCCCCCAGAGGGGCTGGAAGAGAGGCCTGGGCCTCCCTGCTCAGGCTGCTCCTCCTGCGACCCAAAAGAACAGAACCCTTACGCCTTCAAAAATAAGTACCACATAGATCAACAGGTGAGGAGCCATTTATATGGTTAAGTTTTTGCATTGAAGTGTTTTAAAAAGACTTGGAAAAAATAAAATGCAGAAAATGATTGGTAAAAAATGAATTTCATTGATTACAAAAGTACTTAAAGGCAGGGTGTTGTGCAAAATAGACTTTTTGAGCTTTTTATCATGTTTCATTCCCTCATCAAAAACATCCCCAGAGTGCTGCTTTGACTCATTCATGCATGTTTGAGAAATCCTTGACTTTCCCCTGGCAGCTATGTGGAGCTGCATAAACACTTGCTACAAAGCACCGCCCATTTGTACAAAACTCCTCCCTGGAGCCCAGTCTGCAGTCAAGCTTCTGCCCCCCAGAGCACCCCTCCCCTGAAAGCATTGTTTAAAAATGCTGAAGTGGGAGTGTCTGAAACAGGAGGTTTTTAAAGAGATGGAGGCCAATTTAAAGGTATTTAGATGTTAAGTTAAATATATTTATGTACAGCATTTTCATAACAACTGGAGGTTACAGTTATTTGATTGTGGTATGGAATTGAATGTGCCTGAAAATACAAAAAAACACTAAAAACTGAAATGTTGAAATTACTTAAGTTCAACTGGTTTCACTAAGACAAGTTGAATAATATACGGTAAATCAATTTACACTTTAAAGAAATGTGTAAATTACTCAGTTTGCCCAACCAGTTGACATTATTTAGTTAAGTAAATTCAACAGTTAAATTTTTAGAGTGCACGAACTACTCCTTTTATGACATGTTCAGTCGTATTTAAATTTGTAGCGTGTGTCCAGATGTTAAGTAGAGAAGTAAAAGTATTTTTATGTTTGAATGTAACGTAATAAAAGTAAAAGTTAAGATTTTTTTAAAAGTACTAGGTAAAAATCAGTGTTGTATAAAGTACTGCAAAGTGATACTTGAGTAAAAGTACAAGTATCTCATCATAAAAATACTTGTTTCTGATATATTTTGTACTTAAGTATCAAAAGTAAATTTCTGACACAAAATCTACTTAAGTATTGAAAGTAAAAGTACTGAGTAAAAGTGAGCAGTTAGATTTTCCAAAAAGACATTTATTGGGAGGTGACTTCTCCAAAAACTATATTTTCTAACAGCGTGCAGCTGTGATGGGTTGTGTACAAGCTAATAGTGTGTCAGAATGGTATATATTTATACTTCTCATCCAAACACAATTAAATTCACTCTATCCAGGAGACACAGTTTATCAGGAGAGGATTTTTTAAGCAATAACTTGGAATAAAATAGGAGTAACGACTTTATACTTCTTACCTTTTTTTAAAAAAATGTAGTGAGTAGAAAATACAGATAACTAAAAATGTAACGAGTAAAAGTACGATGAAAAATAATTACTCAAGTAAAGTACAGATAACCAAAATTTCTACTTAAGTACAGTAACAAAGTATTTGTACTTAGTTACTTTACAACTCTGAGAATATGTACTTTTTACTAATTCTAACTGATCTAATAATTTTACCCTGTTCACATAAAATTTAAGACGATATCAAAAGCCTGCCAAATTAAATACCTTTTATTTTTTATTAAGTAAACTAGAAAAGGTGCGGCATATATTTCAGTGTTAATATGTTTGAATTAATGTAGAAATGTTATTTCTATCTGGAAAGTGCTCCAGGGAAATGCGGACTTCCTGGCCTGTGACGTCACCAGTATCTGGCTAATGTTGTCCAGTAGGAAGCGAGAAAGGAAAGCAGCTCGAGCGTTTTAGCTCGGAACGCCATCTTACTTTCAGACGGGGGTTTTAAACGACCAGAGGCGGTGACAGGTCGGAGGTTCGTGTTGGCTGAGGATAAAAGTGCCGTGACTCTGCAGCAGCATCAGTCATGGCTTTTTGCTGTTTATAACAGGAAAAAGAGAGAGCGCGTCAGGAAACACCGCCGCCGGTTGGCCTGAACCGAGCTACCGAGAGGAGACGGAGGGAGGCTGGGTTGGTTTTTTTTTTTTTTTCCGCTGAAAGAAGTTATTGTTTATGTTATTTAACACGGACATGTCCTCTTCAAATCCAGGTAAGGAGAAGTAAAAAGTCACGGTGACATTTTACTCACATTATTACGCTGCTTTTAATCAATTGCGATTCTTTTCTCTCGAGCTTTTCTTAAATGCAACACTTTTCCAAAGATAGCGTGACAGCGTCGGCTAAGTTAGCTTAGCATTAAAGCTAATGCTGCAACAACCTTTGATAGTATTGCACAAGTGACTGGTTGCTAACTAGCACTATATTAGCGGCGTAAGAATAGTAATCTGGTTGTAAAGTTTTATAAAGGCAGCATAAGAAAGATGATAAAACAAAAGCAAGTTAGCTGACTGTCACTTAGAGATGTGTTAACGCGGTCCAGATGTTTTTTATTTAATGTAGCTGTAAGCCTAGCTCTGCTTTCCGCAAACTTTAAGATTAGATTCCTCGTGATCTGGAGCTCATTTAATGTATCTGACTGTGTACTGGAATTGCGTGTAAGAACTACAAGGTCAGTTTAGCTGTTTAGTTTCTTTTACAGAGCTTTGAACCCAGAAGGAAATCACCTGTCAGCTGCTAAACGGTCTCTTTCCGTTGCTGTGTTATTAATAGAGCTGGCAGACCCTAACCTGGGTCTGGGAGCGAGTGGAGCCCAAACAAGTGGTGTGGCGGCGGCACCGAAGGGCACCAACAAAAGACGAGCCGTGTGAGTGTCTCTGCTGCTTTTATCCCCTGTTTATGTTTTAAAACATTTTATTTCTGCACCTCCGTGTCAGTGCTGTACATGTAAATGTGCTGACAGGATCACTTCTGTTTGAAAACACTGTTTCTTGTGTTTTACACAACAGGACAGACATTGATGATGATGACGATGAAGAAGGAGGATCCAAATTGATGAGGTATCTTTTTGTCTGTTTTGTTTTTTAAGCATAAACTTTAGCTCAGAATCAGGTCTAAACTGGGGCGGCTTCCTTCACACGCTGAATAAACAGACATTTCCACTGGGAAGACGCTGCTGTTGGGTCTGTGGAGAAAACACACTTTAAAGAGCACAGTGTTTTGTTTACAGCTCAGTCAGGAACACAGACACAGGTTTGATCACATCATGTATTTGTTTGTATCTGGAAAGACGTGAACATCAAAGCAGGAAAAATGTTAACGTTGCACCAAATTTCTGTTGTATTTTTAAAGAATGGGTTTCTCAACTCCTGCAAACATTACTTAATACAACTAATCTGCAAACAGCAGTGAAGTCATAAGAATGTAATAGACTTTTGTTAAATAAAATGAAAACAAATGCTGCTTATAACCTCACATTTTTGCAGAAATTACACCTGATCTAATTATAAGTGACAGTTTAGTCTGCGACACACTTAGCTTGGACTATTCTGACTGTAATAAAATGTTGACAAATGGCCAGATCATGATTTAATTCCTTATTAAAAATAATGATTTAATTCCTTATTAAAATAATCTTTTTCTAAATAAATAGTTTTATGACCCTATATGTGACCCATCATATTGAAATGAGGATTAAGTCAAATTTGGTCAAAATGACCTAATTACATTTTCAGATTCTTGGCTTTAAAAGCTACATTTTGACACCTGGATCATTCAGATATCATAATTAAATCCATATACATGACTTAATTTGTCTTGTTGGTTACAATAATACATAAATATTTGGTCTGAATCTTAATTTTAATAATGAATTTTTGATGTCCTTATAAAGAGGAAACTTCAAATAAACAAAACTTTACTAGCTCACAGGGAAAATCTCAAATTTTAAGGCGTTTTTCCTCAGAATCAGGTTTTTTGTTGCTACTGCTCAAAAAAATGCTTCAAATTTTTGTTTTATGATTATATTTCAAGCAGTTTTGTTCAAATGATATATTAATAAGGCTTTTATTCATTATATTTTGACAAAATGCAATTTTTGTTAACATTTTAGTCAAACCACTATATTTGCCTTTTTCTCCATGTACAACTTTTGGACTTAATCCTCATTTCAGTGTGATGGTCACATATTCAAATGCGGAATATCTTTTTTTTTTGTGGTTACATTAGATTGATAAATATACTTCCTTATTACACAAGATCAGTAGTTTTACGTTTTGAGACTAGAAATTTAGCTGCAGACATGTTGCTGTCTTTCACGACCCCAGTTAGTGTTTTTACTGACCTGGATCATCAGTCTTGTGTTGATTTTGTCAAAGAGGTGATTTTTTTAGTGATCTCCTTGAAATATTGAACTCTACGTCCTATTTCTAACGGGTGTTGAAGGTCTTGTCATTTCTGCTTATATGAGTGTTCCTCTTTTAAAGAAATTAGAAGGTGGTCATCACTTTTGGCTTTTAGTCATGTGCAGGTTTCTGTGATGGTGTTTCACAGAAACTCCTCCATGGGTTTGTTAGGAGATAATGCAGACTTTTTACCAACATACAAAGACTTTACACAGGGTTCGATCTGGCTTCACATTCATACACATGGCTCCTTTTTAGTGCAACTCTACTAATTTCAGGGCTGCAGGGCATGTGTGAAAACTGTTTCATTAGATAAGATTAACATGTTTGAATTGTGTTGTGCCGCAGCAATAACTCAGTTATTTTTTGTTTTCTTTGTTTTTCGTCAGGTTTGATGATGAAACAGGAGGCTCCAGCAGTGAAAAAGAGCGCTTTGCCAGGTGAGAGGGTAGAAATAAGGAGCAACTAAATGTGAGCAGAGAGAGTCTGTCGGGTGCAGTCACGTTAAATCTTCGTGCCTTTTCTTCTTTTTTCAGTGCTTTTTTTGTTTTTTCATCCTAAACTTTCTTTTTTTATATTTAAATGGTAGTGACTTTTGGGCCTGTGTTTTTAGAAGGCTGGTTTCATTTCCAGGTTTTTGGAAGAAGATCAGAGTTTTGCAGATAAGGAAAAACTAGCCAGGTATGGCATGTAGCGCCGAGGAAGGTTCCCTCTCCTGCTTGTGTCCACGTTGATATCAAATGCAAGGATCCAACACTGTCCTGTCATGCTGGGATCCCAGCACGTTAGCTGCGTTTCCATTGACCATGAAAATGTGCAAATTAGAATTTCGAAATAAATTTGCTCAATGGAAACACGTCAATTTCGAAAAAAATTACGTTTTTCAACAAAATGTTTTGCGCTAGGATGAGGTGGTTTTTCAGCCGTATCTAAATTGGTGTTTTTCGCAAAACTACAATGGAAACACTTTTTTCACATCACAGGAGTCACGTGATCAACAACCGGCTGTTTCTGCTGGTGAAAAAGACGATGATGAAGAAGATAACAGGAAGTARWARDAGTAGTAATATCACAGAAGTAGTATAAAATAGTAAACTCAGCG